TGACCTTGTAAGTCATAATAAGGACCTCAGAGGGGACGGCATCTGACTTAAGCTTTAGAGGGATCCCTCTGGCTGCTTTGTTGAGATGAGTCTGCTCAGAGTCTCTTGTAATAATCTGGGCAAGAATGGCGCCTTGGACCAGAGTAGTAGCGGTGGAGGTGGTAAGAAGTGGTTGGATTCTGGATATATTTTGAAGATCAAATGGACAGTATTTGCTGAGGATTGACATGAAAGAAAGAATGAAGTCATCTAAAGGCAAGGGAAACAAAAGCAAAAATAAACAAGTGGAACTATGTCAACCTAAAAAGCTTCCACACAATGAAGGAAACCATCATCAAAACGAAAAGGTGACCCACGGAATGGGAGAAGGTATTTGTAAATCATATATCAAAGAAGAGGTTAATATCCAAAATTTATGCAAAAAACTCATAAAATGCAACAACAACAAAAAAACAAATAACCTGATTAAAAAATAGGTAGAGGATCTGAATAGACATTTTTCCAAAGAAGACATACAGATATCCAACAGACTAATGAAAAGATGTTCAACATAGCTAATTAATAGGAAAATGCACCTGTTAGAATGGCTATTATAAAAAACACAAGAAATAATAAGTGTTGGAGAGGCTGTGGAGATAAATGAACCCTCATACGCTGTTGGTGGGATTGTAAATTGGTGCAGCTGCTACGGAAAACAGTATGGAGATTCCTCAACAAACTAAGAATATGAACTATCGTATGACCCACTTCTGGATATTTATCCAAAGAATACAAAAACATGAATTTAAAAAAACATATGTACCCCTATGTTCATAGCAGCATTATTTATAATAGCCAAGATATGGAAACAATCTAAGTATCCATCGATAAATGAAGGCATGAAGAAATGTGGTATATATGTACAACGGACTACTACTCAGCCATAAAAATAAATGAAATCTTGCCATTTGTGACAATATGGATGGACCGTGAGGGTATATAATGCTAAGTGAAATAAGTCAGAAGGAGAAAGACAAAAACCATATGATTTCACTCATATGTGGAATCTAAAATAAATAAACAATAAGCAAACAAACAAAACAAAGCAAAACCAAATGCATAGATACAGAGAACAGATGAGGGTTACCAGAGGAGAAGGAGGTTGGGATAGATGAAGAGGGTGAAGGGAGTTATTGTATAGTGATGAATGGTAACTAGATTTTGGGGGTGATCACTTTGTATAGAGATGTCAAATTATAATGTCATATACCTGAAACATTTAAAAAAAGAAGGAACAAAGGGAGGGAGGGAGGGAGGGAGGAAGGAAGGAAGGAAGGAAGGAAGGAAGGAAGGAAGGAAGGAAGGAAGGAAGAAAGGAAGGAAGGAAAGAAGGAAGAAAGGACTCAAGGATGCCTCAGGTTTTTGGCCTGAGTAAGTGAGAAGATGGAGTGACTATTTCCTGGATGGGGAAGACAGTGGGAGAAGAAGGTTTGGGGAGGGGCTGAGAAGGCCTGGAGTTCTGTTTTGGATGTGCATGTTTTTTCCTAATGGCTATTAGCCTAGAGAAGGGGGAAAAGCTTGGACTTCAGAGTCAGACAGACTTGAATCCACACCTGACTCCTCTTCTTCTCATCTCTGTGGCCACAAGCGACTTTCCTCTTGGAGCCTTGTTTTTTCCATGCACAAATAATGTATCCTGTGATTCATTCATTCATTCACTCATTCATGAGGCTTTCCTGCCCACTGGCAGCTCACATCCTATGGAGGAAAATGGCAGTAAATAATAAATATAGAAATAGGTTAATTATACCATATGTGAGAAAGTGAAAAGTGCTATGGAAAAGAAGAAAAAAAGTAGCAGTGTAAGGGCTGGTCTGGGTGGCTGTGGTGCTGGTTGGGTAGGGGAAGCATCACTATTAATTAGAGTTACCACATAGCAGGCCATGTCAAGAAGGGAGATTTGTGTAAAGGCCTGAGAGATATGAGGGAGTGAACAGCGTGGATCTGGGGAAGAATGTTCCAGGCAGGAGGAACAGAAAGTGCTAAGACCCTGAGGCAGAAATGTGGCTGGCAGTGTTTGAGAAATAGCAAGGAGGCAGTGTGGTTATAGTGGAGTGAATAAAGGAGAGCTTGGAAGAAGAGGGCCTTGCGGGGCTGTAATAGTATATAACAAAGGAAAGAAAGACATGAAATCAGTTACTGAGTGCCAACTATGTGCCAGGAACTGAGCTTGACATTCATCGGCCGTTTAATCCTGTAATAACCTTACGAATCAGGTATTATGACCCCATCCACCTTTCATACACATGGAAAAGTGAATGACAGAACCAAAATGTGTCTTGTCCATGATATACAGCTAGTAAGTGGCCAGTGGATCCTTTCCTAGTACCACACATTATTGGCCACGTTCTGTTGATGTCATAGTTACAGCAATTCAATGAAATTCTTATCACTTTTAGTGAAAAGATTCACTGAGGGCATAGTGGAACACACATGGCCTAAGCCAGGGCAGATGCCGCCCAGGGCCCAGGCATCCTGAGACTGTCCTACATCTGCAGGGGGAAGGAACTGCAGAGACAAGAGTTTTTTCCTGCTTCTATCATGATGTTATAACATTCTCCAGGCTGTGGAGAATCTCAGAGTTGGCTCTCGTAGGATCTACTACCTCCCAAGAACTCACTGAGGATGGAGTGAGGGGCTGTCAGATTGTAGGAAGGATGAGAGTACGACAGTGAACACTGTCCTCAAGACTGGAAAGTAGTATTGGTCTCAGGGTTCTGGTCCCATGTCACCTGTGGAAAGTCCCTCCACTAGCTCCACCCTTTCCCTCTCTCCTTCTTTCTACACTGAACCTGTAGCGATTGAAAGCTCTGGATTCAGACATTAGAAAGCTGACTTGTGTTTTGAATATGCTACCTAATAGCTGTGTGACCTTGGCCAAATGGCTTCATATCTCTGAGTCCTGGTTTTTTCATTCGTAAAGTGAAAGTGAATAATTACTGCTATCTATTGAGTCCTCACTATACACCAAGACTTGGATCACTGATAACCAGGGGCATTTAGTTGTGAACTATAAAGGACTGAACCGTTGTGAGACATTATTGTCATTATTCTAATCCCTGCCCTAAATGCTACTTCTCTCTTTGATTATTTCCAGTATAGCTCATGTTCTCCTTTCACTAGCTCCTAAAGTGACACAAAGCCTTGGCCTTCGCTGAAGGCTCTTCTAGGCTCTCCCGTCATTTTTCAAGTGGCTGGCTGGATCTGTGCTAGGAGAATGTGAGGTGCGGAGAATTCAGTTTAATGTCAGCACCTTCAGTCACTATCGCATCACTCTATTATTTTAATATACTTTTTCATGAAAGGATAGCATATCTTAAGAAAAGTACACAGATCATGAGTGTTCGATGAGTTATTGCAAAACAACTACATCTGAGTAACCTTTGTTACCACCACCCAGTAAAAAAAAAATAGAACATTATCAGCACCCTAGAAGCCCTTGTCATGCCCATGTCGTGCTCCTTCCCAATCCCATTTCCCTCCTCCCCATGTCTCATCTCTGTGTTGCCCTAGGCCAGCACAAAGCCTTATCAAAATGCCAGGCGAATATTCGCTAAACTGAACTAAACCCTTTTGAAATCACTTTGTGATCTCGAACTACACTTTGACTTTCTTGGCCTTGATTTATTCTTCTGCAAAATAGGGACAACATTTTAGGATTTTTAATTGTTCTCAATCCTAATTGTGCATTAGAATGACCTAGGGGAGCTTTTGAAAAAATACCCATCATACTTGGGCACTCCCTGCTGCAAATGAATCCGAATCTCTGAAGATGGGTCCCAGGCAATGGTAGTTTTTAAAAGCTTTCCAATGATTCCAGTGTACAACCAATAGCTCTTGAATCTTACCAATCTCAACCAACACTATCCATTTGAATCTCAGTTCTACTACTGCTGTGGGTTGGCTTGTGTCTTCCCAAAAGCTGTTTTAAGTTCTAACCCCCGCTACCTGTGAACGTGGCCTTATTTAGAAATCGTGTTATTGTAGATGATGAATTGAAGATGAGGTCATTAGGGTAGGCCTCTAATGCAGTCTGACTTTTGACCTTCTAAAAAGGAGAAATTTGGACCTCAAGAGAGAGACACAAGGAGAGCTCCATGTGAAGACTGGAGTTATGCTGCCACAGTCAAGAAACACCAAAGATCATCAACAAACCACCAGAAGCTAGGAGGAAAGCGTGGAAAGGATTCTCCCTCACAGCTCACACAAAGAACCAACTCTGCCAAAATCATGATTTCAAATTGCTAGCCTCCAGAATATGAGACAATACATTTTTTTTTTAAGCCATCTAGTTTGTGATACTTTGTTACAGCAGCCCTGACAAACGAATACAACTATTTACGTACTGGCTAAGGAACACTCTTCATCCATTCCTTCATCTGCAAATCTGGAACCATAATAATAGTACTAATAATTCTATGTGCTGGGTTCCATTCTAAACACTTTACACAGATTATCTCATTCGGTCATCCCAGTATCCCTCTGGTATAGGCACTATGACCACCTCCACTTTCCAGATGAAAAAGCTGTGGAACAGGGAGGTTAAGTCCCTTGCTCAAGGTCACATGGTAACTAAATACGCAAGATAATATATCCTTCACAAGACTATTAGGAAGCCTTCTGACACTGAGGGTGTGGATGTGAAAGCGCTTTGCAATTAGTAAAGCATTTTACTCGTGTTATATAGAATCTCTGCAGATCGAGGACTCTTTTTTTTTTTTTTTTTTGGCCGTCTCTCATTCTCTTCCTACGGGATACTTCCTTCCCTCGGCGGCAAGGGGTCGCTGCGCCGCGCGGGCGCTGACAGGTCTCTCTAGCCCGCTGCGCTGGCTGCTCGTTGGTGCCTATAAATGACGGCTGCCGGCTCACAGAGATAGCAGTCAGCCGCCGCCGGGGCTGGGTCTGGCGTTGGTACTAGAAGTGGGGCTAGACGCGGAGAAGCTGAAACTGGGCCGGGGAGGAGCGCAGCGCCGCGCCGGGGCCGCCAAGAGGGGCGTGCTTCTGCTGGCCCACCCGCGAGTCGCCCCCAGCCCGTGCCGAAGCGTTCTCCCGCCAGGCCGCCTGCCTCCGCCTTCCTCCTCCCTCCATTTACCCGGAATCTCAGCCCGGCGCGTCTGCACCCCGACGCTTCTCTGGGTGGGGAAGCTCCCGGCTGCTTTCCGGCTTCACTTCTTCCTCGCAGCCTGAGCTCCCAGACCCCTCTCTTCTTTTCCTGGACCGGGTCCCAACCCCTCCTGTCCCCTTCCTTTAGCTCAGGCTCCCTTCCCCTTCCTTTAGCCGAGTGCTGGCTCTGCAGTCACTTTCCTTGGCTGAGGGTCTCAGACTTCCCTCCTCCTTGTCCTTGCCTAGGGTCCTACCCATCCTTGTCCCTTTCTCTGTCCTAGGGTGCAGTCTCTTCCTCTCTCCTTTTCCTGGCCTGGAGTTCCAGACCTTTTCCTCTCCTGGAGTCCTTCCTGGGTCCTTGTCTTTCTTCCCCAATTTGGAGTTCTAGATCGAGAACCCAGCTTCTCTCCACCTCCGGGGGACTGCTTCCACAAAAAGACCTCTCTCAAACATGAACGTTTCCTAGAAGCTGCCCCAGTCTCTCTTCCCATCTGCTGACCCCTTGCTACCTATGTCCCAGGTCTTACTCTCACTTTGCTAAGGGTCAAGGCCTACAGGACGAAGGAGGTGGCAGGATGCTTTCGTGGTCTGGCATCTGTGGCCTCTCTCCACCTCGAATCTTCCCTTCGTTGCTCATAGGGGTAGCCTTGGTGGGGCTGCTGCCTGTTCTCAGGAGCCATGGCCTCCAGTCCAGCCCTACTGCCAGCACCATCCGAGGCTCAGAGCCACCACGGGAACGCTCTATTGGAGATGTCACCACCGCCCCACCGGAGCTCGTCCCCGACAGCCGCCCTGTCAACCATTCTGTCACTGAACACAGCATGAAGGCTCGAAAGGCCTTTCCAGTCCTGGGCATCGACTACACACATGTGCGCATACCCTTCGAGATCTCCCTCTGGATCCTGCTGGCCTGCCTCATGAAGATAGGTAAGTTCAGTGTGCTCTAATGCTTCTGCCGCCACCAGATTGGTGAGCTTCTTTCCCCATCCTTACCGCTTGAGGCTGCCCAGGAATAAGGGTCTGGACTCCTCTTGGAAGGTAGGCAGCCTCCATCCTGCCATCTTGGCCCTTCTCAAACTCAAGGTCTGGTGTCTGTGGTTCTCCCAATATTGGAGCCAGCATCGTGCATAAGAAAGAGCAGGGTTACGGCATGGGATACTTCGGATACTAGGTACTTTCAGCAAGGCTTCCAGGCCTGGCAAGTCTCCTCTGGCAGGGCCAGACCCAGAGAGGAGCCAGACATCCAGCTGTGCGTAAGGCAAAGAGGAGTGTCTTTTAGCAAGTGGCACAGTCTGCTCTGTCAACAGCAATCAGTGCAATTACCTACTTCATGGGAGGGTGTTCTAGGATAGAGTATATTTCTACTTGGCCTGTCTAAGGAATTTCAGTGTAGCGGGGCCCTGTGTGCTGGAGACCTATATGTGTGGTGCAACACGAGGGTTTCCCACATTTTCACCTTCCTTTATCCCTGGAATACTATCTGTCAGCTTTGCCTGCCCAGGCTGGTCAGGAGCCTCTGATTCAGTTTCTAGCCCAGGATTGCCATTTCTTACACAGTTTATGGAACAAGGGGTGCTGGAAATTTCCGAAGTCTGTTTTGGAGGTGGAGGGGGTGTGGAGGAGATTGAAGCTTAGTCAGGCCCCAGCTCACCTCTAGGTTAGCACTTGGCTGTGTCTTAAGGTACCATCTGGGTTGGCCAGTCATGTTGGCCTGCCATTCAGCCTAGTGGGAGGGCAGGTAGAGGGGCTCAGGATTTTCTGGTCCGAAGAGGCTTTGAAACAATTTTTTGGGAAGAGACAGAAAAGTTTTTCCCTTCCAGAGGGCTGGTCTCCCTGCTAGACCTGGGCAGTCTGTTCTGCTGGGTGATTGATGGAGCTCACCGGAGCCTGCATAGGTCAGAAGCCCCTGGAAGTGCGTCTAGGGAGGCTTTCAAAGCTGCCTTTGCGTTTTTAGCCCTGGTTAAGCTGTAGAAGGCATGAGGGCCTGAGATTCTGCTGGTTTGGGTTTGGGGACTTTGTGACTCTTGGCAGAAAGCTTTGCAGCCTTCCCAAGGACATGCAGGAGTTGAGTGGCGATGCCAGGCTGATGTGAGCCAGGCTCTGGGACATGCTGCTGGTGGGCAGTCTATTTTGACAGATCCAGGAGCTGGCTTCCTGGTACAGGGCTTGGGTACTGTGACAGTAGCAGGGCCTATACGTGGACCTGGGCCACTGGTACCTATACCCTGATGGCAGTCAGCTTCCTGGAAAAAAATCAAGGATTGGGCAAGGGGAGCCATTTGTACTGATTCAGACAACTACATGACCTTGAACAAGCTGGGGCCTTTCTCGGCAGGTCTCGCCCACCTGTGAAACTGGCAAGAATCTTGAAATTCGAGCCTATCAATTGAGTCGTGAAACCTGTATCTTAATGTGTAGTAGGAAACTGAAGTGATCGCCATGTGTTATTTGCTTGTGTGAGACCTCACAAGCACTGTCTATAAATTGCCCTCTTCTCTCCAGCCCCCTCACCTCCTAAACACACCTGGTATTATTAGGGCATTGGGGGCTGGTGCACACACTGCCGGTCTCAGAGACTTCTGGTGGGACAATAGCGTGACCACAAAGGTCCTACTTGGGGCAGTCAGGAGTTTGTCCCTGCAGGCCTGATATCTTTAGTTTTAATGGGGTCAGATTTGGCCTGCTTTGTCCCCAACAGAACCTGTGTCAAGGACCCTAGGCAGCTGGAGAACAGTGATGGTGCCATGGCAAGAGTATCACTCCAGAAGTTAGGAAACTTGGCTTCTTATTCCACTTCCCTCTGTGACCTTGGGCTAGTCACGCATTTCCAATATTGATCTTTGTGGCCCCTTCTACATCTGTTATTTCTGCCAGTTCACTGACTCGGGTAACTCTGGCAAGTCACTCAGCCTTGGGCCTCAGTTTTCCCATTGTAAAAGGAGACTGGATATGATCTCTGAGGCCTTTGCAGGTCCAAAAGTCTGTGTCTCTGGCTTGGAAGGGCCTTTTACTACCTCTGAAAACAGGAGCCCTAGCATCTGGCCATCCTAGGGAAGAAAGAGAGAAAAGTGACAAAGATGTGAAGGGTTCCTGTTCACGGGGCAAACGTGAAAGCCCATTTTTTCCTTTACCTTTGCAGAGTAGAGTCGAGGTTGGGTAGGGGTTCCATCACTCTGCCACTTATCCTTAGTTTCCTCGTGTATAAAATGGGGGAAATGATAGTATCTGGTCAGAGTGCTGCTGATACGATGACATAAATGAATACAGATAAAGCTGATTTTGTACCCACAGGAAGCACTCAATGAGCGGCAACTGCCCCGTTGGTATTTCAACCACCCAAGGCAAATGCATTTCGACCTTAGCCTCCTACAGTGTTCCTCCGATACAGGAAGATTACAACTCTCACTGCTAGGCTGCCATCCAGTGACTTTCCTTAAGGTTTCAGGGTTTAGGGTATGTCTTACTGGTTGTTCTTCCTTTCACTTAAGCTGCCTCTGGTGCTGGTCCCGGTGGGAGGAGAGCTGGCACCAACTGACTTAGGGGATAGGGTAGAGGGGCTGAGGCCATGCTCCCTCTGCACTATCAGACAGCCAAGGACCTAGAAGTTCATTTTGGGGTTTTGCATGTTCTCTCAGTGCCCCAGCGTGGGTAGGAGCTATGTTGGAGCCCTCATTCTGTCATCTGTGACAGCTGCTCCCTCTGCAAGATACCCCTCCTTTAAGAATAGAAAGTTCTGTGTGCAGTTCTCATTCTTATCCTAATCATTGAGCAGAGCCTCAGGTAGACACTGCCAGAGATGCATGTGGGAGGGGTGGAGCTGGAGCTGAAGTTTTAGAGTAGATGCTTCTCCTGTAACTGATTCAGTGGGTGACATTAGGCAAGTCACTTCCCTTCTTTGGGCCTTTTTTCTCTCTGACAGTCAAGCGTTCTTGCCTCTTCCTTGATGGGGAGGAGCTAGTGGCATGAGGGGGTTGACTGCTGTGAGAACTGAGAATGACCCCAAGCCTCAGGTTAGGTCTATTCCCCACCCCACCCCACATTGTAATTTGGATCTTGCATGAATTCTGCTTTTCCCCAGTTCACCTGGCTCCCAGTCCAGTGCTTGTTCCAAGAGAGAGCCTCACTGTAACCCAGCTCACCACTGACACCCACTGCATTTGTTTCCCCATATCCCTGACCCGGAACTCCTGGCAAGAGGCCTGGGAGTCCATAAAGCAGGTATTCATCTTATCTCCTGACTAGAGGCAAAAAAGCCTTCCTTTGTCCCTTTATATCTTATAGCTTGTTTTGATCTTTGCAAGGTGTATCCTGCCATTTCCTCCTAGAACAAATCTGTGAGTAGGGAAGAATGGGGTCATTATTGTCCACTTCACATATGCATGGATGTCAGACCCAGCAACTGGCTCCCTATAAAAATAAGACTAGGACTTGCCTCTTCCACTTCTCAAAAGGAGAGAGGAACAACTTAAAGGTCACCTTGAAACTGTCTCAAGAAGCCCAGATGGGACTCTCTAAAAGGAAAGAAGTGACCTTTTTCTCTTTGAGAAAACAGCTGACTGACTGCAGGACAGTGGGAGGGGATATTAGCTGAGGCCTAGGAGGAAGGCTTCAGGTAGGACACATGTCTCCAGAAGTGCCAGGGCACTTAGAGGGCCTCAGTTGGTTGCATTGCTTGAACTTCATTAAGCTGAGCACCCACGAGGCTCACCTTTCCTCTTGGCCCCCATCCTGCCCCTCCAGCTCTAGTGGGAAGGAAAGATGTCAGAAAGTCTGAGCTCTGTCTCCACCCCTCGGTACCTGTGTGACCATGGGCCATGCACCTCATTCCTCTGAACCTGACTCTCCTCTCGGTAACATGACACGCCATCTCTGCCTTCTCGGACCCATGTAGAGATTGAATGAGGGAACGCCCAGCATAGTGCCCAGCCCGTTCAGATCCCACCCGCTTTGGGCGGTCTTCCCAGCCCACTGCAGCCCATAGCAGTTGCTTTCACTCCTCTCCCTGAACCCGTCTCCGTTATTGTTTATCCACATCTCTGGCATTAGGCCTAGCCTGTCCTGTGACATCTCTTCTGCTGGGCGTGTGTTTTAATAAGAATTACCACTTATTGAGTATCTACAGAGTAGTGTCAGGCACTTTATAAAAGTGATCTCATTTAATCCCTACTAAAATTGTATGAGATAAAGGCTGTCTGTTTGGTAGATGAGGAAACAGCCCAAAGAGTTTATCTGCTGTGATGCTGAATTGCTGTTTTTCTGTTTGAGTCTCGGCATAGCCTCCTCGAGGGGTGCAGCTACATCTCCTGCCCCTCACATTCCCCTCGGCAGGTGCACATGGCCCTGCGCTGAGTAGCGCCCCGCTCACTGCACCTGTGCTGGGGAATGGTAGGACTCCCTCTAGGGTTGGAGCCCTCTCCCTGCCCCGAGAAAGCTGTAGGGGTTCTGTGCCAGCTTTGGGCCATCCTCTGTCCCTGTGAGTCCACACGGGTGCACTCGAATTCCAAAGTCAGGCTGGGCTTATCCGTCACCTCTGCCTGCCTGCCTGCCATCTCTTTGCTGGTACTCCCTTAGTCTGATTAGTGCTTGTTTTTTCCCTGCTCAGGCAGGAGGGATGACACTTAAAGTGTGGTTTCCTTTAACCAGCAGGGGTAGCTAACCTTCTGATCATGATCTCCTACCTCTGTGCAGGAAGGGTGCTGGGCTGCTTTGGTTACCCTCAGGGCCCAGCAGGATCCCCTCAGAGACAGCCTGTTTGTTGAGAGCAGGTGGCCCAATTTTCTTTAGCCATAAAAGGCACACAGAGTTTAATAGTAATTCTCATTGATACTGTATTTGTTTCCAAAGCACTTGCATATACAGTGTTTAATTCTGATCATCTCAGTGGTCCCATGGGTTAGAATATCAGGTGGTATTGATGTACCTATTTT